CTTGCCAGACAGACGCCACTAAACCCCAGGTGGGTTTGGTGCTACCAGCCCGAAGACTTGCAAAGGTTCATTAGCAAATGTGGCGCAGGCTGCGCGGTGGGATCGAGCATCTACCTTGTCCCAGCAAAATTGTGTGAGCGTGTGCGTATGGGTAGGCATTCATTGGACTTGCGTCACCTCTGCTTATTGAATATTTCTAGCGCACAAGAAAGGAAGGAGGATCAGATACATGGAGGGGGTGAGGATGGAGGAAAGGACGAAAGTAGGCGGAATAACCGAAGTATGGATAGGACAGGCACGTGTGCAGGTCCTAGCCCAGGGGCCCGAAATGGCGGCGGTTCTGCAGTTCGTTCGCGGCATCGTGGAGTCGTGTTTTTGACCTTGGCCTGCGCGTTCCCGAAGACATGGTCCAATCTCCACTTTCTACCACCCCACCACCCAAGAGAAATCGTCCTTCCTCCTCCCTCCCTCCGTCCTTCCATCCCTCCCTCCTTCCCTCCCTCCCTCTATCCATTCCTCCTTCCTCCTCTTCGCCCCCCCTCCTCCCTCCCCCTTCCGCCCCAATGGATCTCTACTCGAACGCATAGGCCTTGGCCTGCAAAAGCTGGCGTGCCGCCAGCCCTGCAACGCTGGCACGCCGCCGGCCGCCTGGCAAGCTGCCCGTTCCGAACCCGTTCCGACGGAGGGGGAGGGGGACAGTTCGGGGGGATGATTCGGAGATGGGCGCGGGGGGATGGTTTGATCAGGAACCATGTCTGTGCGAAAATCAAATGGGTATAAAATCGAAACCGAAAAACACATTCGGTAATGGAGGGGCACTAAAACGCGAGAAGGATGATAAGGAGGAGGAGGAGGAGGAAAAGGAAGAGGAAAGGGGGAGGAATGGGAGAGGATGGGGCGAACAGGGCATATGAGTACACACGATCACGGAGAATGGGCGGACAGGGCTTGAGATAGCATGGTGGATGGACGGATGGATAGAATGCGAGGGATGGATGGAGCAGTTCGGATTTATGGCAAGCTAGGCCGTCTGCTATTGCAGCGCCCTGGAGCGGCGCAGAGTTTTCACGTGGTGAAGCAGCTCGCGCGCTAGACGCTGGGGGAGAGGGGGCAGGTCGAGAGTCGAGAATGAGGACAGGTAGTACATGTTTATGTTTGCATCCCCTGGGCCGCCAGATGGCCCCTCGTTGCCACGACTGGCCACGCTTCGAAATTCTTTTGGGAACGCACTCCTGGGCGGATTTGGCGAGGACTCTCAGGTTTTGTTGTTCTTCCTCCCACCCCTTCCTTCGCATATCTCGTTTCTTTCCCTGCTTCCCTGTACGCCCCATATTGTCCTCCCTCCGTCCCCTCCCTCCACCTTTCCCTCATGCCTGTCCTTTTCCGTCGATTCCCAAACGCCTTGCCTCTCGCCCTTGTCATCTCTGTTCCTCCTCCTCCTCCCCCCCTGCTCCGTTTCCTTTCCCCATTCATCCTGACCTTCGTCTTCCCCCTCCTCCTTCGCCTTCCCCCTGTCCCCCTCCGCCTCCTCCTGCTACTTTCCAAACGCATTTTTTCATTATTTCTGCCGTCGGCGTACGGCTGGCGCGCTTCCTTGGCTCATACCTCTGCTGTCGGACGTGCCCCTCGCGCAATTCGTCGGCCCACGCCGATCTGACAAACGCTTGACGTCAGATCATTGTCAGACCAGATACAGATCTGACAATGGTCTGACGTCATATCATCGTCAGACCACGACTGGGTCTGACAATGGTCTGACGTCAGATCATTGTCAGATCGTTGATTGAGATCGTCGGTAAGTAGTCGGTCTTGCATCGGTAACAAAACGGTCTGGCGTCGGTAACGGATCGGTCGCGGGTTATCGGTTTGGGGTCGATAACAGCGGTAACGCCGAAGCGGTCGCGACCGGTCGCGACCGATTTGACCGACCAAAACAACAGTACCGGTCGCTACCGCTCGCTATTGTGTAATATCGGGAATCGATGATCTGGGCTGGGGACAATGGCTGTCCCCGGGGCTCCACGGCCCTGGTCTCCGAGGACGTTTTGGGCGCTGTGCTCATGGATGCCGGCCCCCCTGCAGGGCCCGTTGCCGGGCCCCGGGGCCACCAAGCACGCAGCCGGGGCGAAACAGTTGCCCGAGGAAGGGGTCGGAGGTGTCGTGGGCCGCGAGTGGAACAACGTCCTGCAAGCGGACGTCTGGGTGAAAGGCCCCGCCTCTGGGGCGCGCCCCTGCCCCGGGCGGGGGGCCGGCGGGCGTATAGGACGGCGGGAGGCGCCGCGGGCCGGAGCTCGGCGGAGGGCGGCGGAAGCAGCAGCGAGGGTTGCTGGAGTCGGTCCGTGCATTGCCTTCAGCATCGTTGAAGCGACCCCGATCCCCATGCCCATCCCCATCCAGACCCCCACCATCTCACCACCCCAGTCGGGACATGTACCCCTCGGAGCCCGCAGGAAACGGCCTTCTTCCGGTAAGGCGGCCCTCAGTGGGGCCCGGGCCACGCCGGTGGGGATAGAGATCGGTTGTGCGATGCTATTGTCTGGCCGAGAGGGGAGGGGGTTGGAGGCGACGAGGGGGGCGGATAGCCCAGGGGGGAGCAATACATGTATCCAGGGGCGCCGATGGTCCATGCCTTCGGCGAGGCTCCAGTGCGAATACGTGTAGCGCCCGCCGTGACGCTGTTCGCGTCTATCGTCACCCCCGAGGGGGTCGGGGAAAAGAGAAGCGACACCACCGCTACCTTTGGGGGGCCACCTCCGGCGAAGTCGCCCACGAGGCTTCCCCGAGCGGGGGGCAGGGGATGTCGCGAGCCAGGGCGGGGGGGGCCTCCACGCCACAAGGGGGACCCCTGCTGGCCCCTCCCGCTCGTGGTCGACGGTGTTCCTCGACTTATACATATCTATATATGTATATATATATACATATACATACACATATTCATATATATATATATATATATATATAAAGAAAATCAGGAACAAATGCAATACGGCACCACTCAACCTACGGCCCGCCGTGTTGCGCTACGGCCCCTCGGGGGCCGTAGCCTACATACCACGCAAACCCCCGAGGCCAGAAGCCAAGGTATCTGCCAACGCCCGTGGGGTCGTAGGTCGGGTGGTGCCGTTTGTTTTTTGGCTCATTTCCTTGGTCGGGTATTGCCAGGACCCCGGTGAAGGGGAGCCCGTTAGTGATTGGGCCCCGAAGCCCAACATCTGGATTGGAATCTCTAAACCAGGTCTGTCGTAATTGATGCTCTTCGGATGACGGCAATTCTGGTAAGTGGAACGGGACGTGGGGATCTGCCACTGCTTGACGGCGACGGCGACGGCGACGACGGCGACGACGGCGACGACGGCGGCGACGGCGACGACGGCGAGGACGGCGACGGCGATGACGGCGACGGCGACGACGACGACGGCGACGGCGACGACGACGCTCTGGAGCCGCAAGCCTCTCCCAGGGAGGTGTGACACCCTCCGTGGGCAAGACCCGCTGACGTTCGTCAAGCAGTGGCAATTCCGGCGAGGTCCCCGGTACAGATCTCGAAACCAGGTCTTGCCAAACCCAGTCCTGCCGTCGCCCGACTTGGCTCCTGGGGGGAACACGGTGGGAGGGGGGGCCGGCCGTGCCACGAGTCCCGCCAGCGCCGCCTGGGAACGCCTGCAGGAGTAGCGGGTTCCCAAGCGGCGCCGGCGCGGGGGACGGGGCGTCGCGTCGCGAAGCATCAACAAATGATCTTTCTCTCTCTCTCTCTCTCTCTCGATATATATATATATATATATATATATATGAGATCACATCGTGTCATATAGATATATAGATCATATAATTTGTGTGTGCGCACAATTACATATGTATATATATATATATGTGTATGTATGTGTGTGTGTGTCTATGTATGTGCGTATATATAACATGTATCTATACATACATATATGCATATGCGGGGAGCGCCTCCCCCGCTCCGCTTCCGCCGGCCGCCGACACGCCGTCCGCCGAGGCAGCGGGCCAGTGCCCCGAGCGCTGGCGGGCGAGGGCCCGTCCTGGAGTTGGCGCCCCGCGCAGGGCCCCCCTCAGAGAAACATCCTCGGCCCCAAACATCCCGTCGGCGGTTCAGAGAGGGGGCCCTCAGGGACGGGGTCCTGAGGACGAGGCGCCTCAAACGTGAGGTGCGAGCCTCTCCTTGGATCCCTTCCTGTCCTCAGGGCCCCCTCCCCTCAGGACCCCGTCGCTGAGCTGCCGCATGCTGGCGCCTTGCGTCTGCCTCCGCCGCCGCTCCGGAGGGGCGCATCCTCTGCTTCCGCGCTCCTGCCGCTGCCAGCGGAGGTTCCCCCCCCCCACCGACGTCCACTGAGGAGGAGTGGTCACGAGGGCTGAGCCAGTGGGCGCAAGCTCGTCCGGTCCGCGCGAAGATGTGCGCACCAGGAATGGGAAAACGAGAGAACCCCACCACAGGAAAGGGTCGCCGTTCAGTTCTTGTGTGGAAGATTCGGGTTTTCTGCTCCGGGCCGTATCAGAGTTCTGTCAAAGTGACCACCTGAAATTGGCGCTCGCGGGCGGACAGGGGAACGGCTTGCCGGCCAGACGGCATAATACATGCAAGCATTGCCACCGGGATGTGTGGAGAGGGGCAGCGATGAGGTCAGAGGCGTTGCGTTCCGCGTGACCCCACGAAGCAGTCCAGGGACCGATGTTGCGCCCCTCTTCGGGACCGCTCGGGTTTTTTGGGGCCCCATCTGGGGGTTGCTGAGGTCCTCCCTGCCCTTACGCTGTCCTCCTTTCCCTCCTCTGGTTCGATCAGGTCTGGCCTGGTTTGGGATGGTATTGTCCAGCGTGGGCTGCCAGCGTGTCCAGGTGGGTCACACTGGCAGCCATCTGGAGTGCGAGTGTCAAACAAGATCAGGCATGCACCCAGAGACAGTGTAAAATTGCTCGGCCCCCTCACTCTGACATTCACTTCGCCCAGAGTGCTGGTAGACCTGCCCCTGAGCTCCCCACAGGAGATTCGAGGCATTAGTGCCAGGCTGACCGACCCGACTGCGGCACTGGAGGAGATTAACGCCAAGCTGGCTGAACCTGCCGCCACCCTGGAGGTGATCAAGACGAAGCTCGCCGGGCACGCCCCCGCACTGGAGGACATCAAGAAGAGTATCGACGAGGCGGGTTTCGGGTCCCTGCTGGAGGAAATCCGGAACAGACGGACAGAAGTCGACCTGGAGCCAGTCTTGCAGGAACTCAGGAAGATGGGTGGAGGCTTACAGAGGGAAGGCTCGACCGTGCACGGGGACATCCAGGGCCCCCTGTGCACGACGGCGGAGCAGCGATTGGCTCAGGTGTCTCGACAAGCTCCGATCGCCTGGTCGCTCGGCCGGCCAGCGGGACTTCCAACGCCTCGGGACAGGGCAGACACCCTCCGGCTCGTCGGCACCATCCCGAGCGTTCCACGCTCTCCGCAGGCTGTTGTCAGAGCCACCTCGGTGTGTGGCCGACGAGAGTTCTCGGCGACCCTGGGCGCCGTCTGTGGCGGAAGTAAAACGGAGCCGCCTCCGCCAGCGGAAGCCGGGGGAAGGCCGGCGGATGCCCGCGGAGGCAAAAATATGTCCTCCGGAGGATGGCAGCATGTTACGCGTCAAGGGTTTCGGGAGCCCGCCATATATTAATGTTTGTTTCAACGCACGGCCCCAAGAAGTCTGGACCTTTTCCCGGGCTGGCTTTACATCCCGAGTCTTTTTTCGATGGTCCCAGTGCCTGGCGAGGGCACAGAACGGGGGGCCCTCGAATGGGACTAGGTTACTAGGTCGAGGATCAATCCGTTCCAGAGCCTTCCGGAAGGCTCTCAGAGCGTTCTGGAACGCTCTGGGAAGGCCGCAGCGCCCGAGACATCCTCCAGAACCGCCGGATCTCAGAGATTCTCGATTCATCCTCCCCCGATGTTTTATTTTCGTCCTGGCGTTGCTTTATCGTTTTTGTTTGAGGGTCCCAGGGCCCGGCGAGGGCTCAGAACGGGAGCCTGTATACCTTAGGCGATGCTTAAGAAAACCTCACTTTTCGTCCAGAGTCTCGATTATTCTTAACTTTTCAATATAAATCCCAAGATTTTGATAGAAGTTCTGGGTTTTATTCCATTTCTGAGACTATGAATTTCTTAACCCATGATTTCTGAAGCATTTCGCAGGGTGTAGGTATCCGAAGATCTGATGTTTCCCAAACCTGCGGCCTCAGATGTCCTGGCCCCCTTCCCAGCAAGACCAGCGTCCTGCCGAGGACCCATCTATGTCTACGCCGGGCCCCTGGGCCCGACCTGAAAAAGGTCGTGCGGGTGGTAATGGGGGGTGATTCACCATGGTCACCGAGCGCGTTCCACTACTCGCCAAGTACATACTTGCAAACGTCCGAACAACACATGTCTGTTTTGATGTATTATCGTAGATCCCCCGCGGGGGATCCAGGCCATTTGCGAGTAGCTACCTTGCGAGTAGTGGGCCGCGCTGGTTTAAATGGGGGGGGGAGAAAAAAGGTGCAAAGGGGCACCTTAGGGTTCCGCCTGGGCCCCTGGTTGGCTCCAAGAGGGGCCCTGAATAGCCCATTCAGGGCCCTCCTCTTCGCCTCCCGATTTGGGCCACCACCCCCATGTCAGCCAGGCGCTAAAGGCGGTGGGGGGAGGGGGGCGTGCTTCTTAGAAGCACACCTGCTTCTCAGAAGGCGCGGGCCTCATCTAGAGGTGTAAGGCCGGCGCCTTCTAAGAAGCAGCCTTCTACATAAGGGCACAAAGGAAAAAAGCGCCCCTAGCCTGGCTTGTGAGGCGCTGTGCGCTGAACGTCCCGTGGGCTGACAGGGTAAGCCCTGCGTATCGCGCGTGCCGCGCGCGGCGTCCTGGCGGCTCTCTGGCCCGTGGTAGCTCCCAGGAGGTGTACGGACCACGCACTTGCCACCCCAGGGTAAGGGGCGCTCTTGCATTCCTCAGCCTAAGATCGGGCCGGGCGAAAGGGGGGGATTGGGAAAGGGGGGATAACGAAATTTGCTGCATGCAGCTGGTTTCGGCCCCACCGAGGGGCCCATTCCTCGATACATAGCCGCCTCCGGCGCGGGAGGCGCCGGGAAAATCAGCTACGTGAGCTGATTCTCAAACCCCCCTTTGCTATCCCCCCCTTTCGCCCGACCCGATAAGAAGCCCTCCCCCCTCCCCTTCCGCCCCCCTCGTGCGCCGCGCCCAACCCCCGTGGGCACGCGCCCTAAGAAAAACCGGGCCCCCACGGCCCCAGCGAGCTCGGGGCAGAAAAGCGCCGGCAGGCCGCCGCGCGACCGCCTCGGCGCGTCGAGGGGCTGGGCCTGCCCGGGCCGCGCCGAGCTGCGCCCTCCGCCCTCTCGGGGTGGGGGCACGCCTCGGCCTCGTCGTCGTCGTCGTCGTCGTCGCCGTTCGGCGTCGTCGTCGTCGGCGGCGCCGTTCGTCGTCGTCGTTCGGCGTCGTCGTCATCGTGAGTCGCCGTTCGACGGTTGTCGTCGTCGTGTCGTCGTTAGTCGTCGTCGTCGGTTGTGGTCGTCGGCGTCGCCGTTCGTCGTTCGTCTTCGTCTTCGTTCGTCGTCGTCGTCCTCGTTTGTCGTTCGTCGGCGTCGCTTGTCGTCGTCGGCGTCGGCGTTCGTCGTTGTCGTCGTCATCGTCGTCGTCAGCGTCGTCGTCATCGTCGGCGTTCGTCATGTGGTAGTGCCTCCTACGCCTCCACACGTTACAGGAGGGACGGAACGTGTGAAGGCCAAGGAGGCACTCTCGAAGGCATCACCTCTGTAACCTTGCCGGTCGTTGGTGTGATCACCTTCCAGCCCTTCCGAGGCGCTGTCTTATCTTGTCTTATACCAACCTCGAGGCAGAACAGCCCGCCCACGGCCCCGACTCGACCCGCTAGACCCCCTCGAGTCCCACGACGCAAGATTTTTGCCCTACGTTCGGCCCCTGCGGGCCCCTTGCTGGGCCTCGGGACCGTCAAGAAACGACTCGGGATGAGAGACCGGTCCCGGGGAACGTGTCGGGACCTACGGTTCAAGCAGTGGCGAAGCGTCCCGGCTCGCTTATACCCCCACCAAACAATGTTCTAAGAACCGCTTGTGGTTCCCACGAAAGGTTCTTAGAACATTTCTGGCTGGGACTGTCTTGTTTTAACACATCGGGTTTATGTTCGAAGAACATTGTTTTTGTTCTTAGAACACTGTTGGTTTCTAAGAACATGTCGTGGTATGACTGTAGGAATGCCGGGACGGTTGGTCACCGTTCAAACGGGGGGGCGCCGTCATGAGCACAGCACGGCGTCGGAGGTCTGGGGACTTCGCCTCGGCGCGTCGCTCCGCCGAGTCCTGGCCCCCGGCGCTGCGGCGCGCCGCGCCGGCCGCGCCCCCCCAGCCGCGGGCAGCGACGTCCGGAGGACCGCATCGCATCGCCGACGCATCGCCGATGCGGCTCGATGTGGAGCCCGCTGTCCTCCACGCCGTCGGCGCCCGCCGAGGCCGCGCGCCGCCCCGCGGAGCGGAGCGGCGCGCGCGAGCGAGCCGCTCGCGGGGCGTGTGGCCTGTCGCCAGGTGCCGCCACGGGGGCACGCTGCGCAGGCAGTGCGGCCCGCCTGTCGCGCCCCCCGCGGCAGGCCGCTGCACTTGGCATCGTTCGGACGTGTGCATTTTTTTCTTCGGCGAGGGCCATCGAGGAGCATCCTTGACCATTTGGCGAAAAAAACCACGCACAACACCGGAACAAGAGAGCACAGGGAATGGACGTCCGAGCGATGGCCAGTACACCTCTCAAGGGAGGGCGAGGCACCAGCTGCACAAGTCTGGGGGAACAGGAGCACAGCACACAAACCAAGCTCGAGTGGTCATCAACACGTGCGACGATCTCTGGGAAGGGGATAGGGGGAGGGGAAGCGTCAACATACTTTTATGGGACATGTTGGAAATCATGGGGACTTGTGTGTCGATTCGTTTCCGTCTTCCTGGGCCCCTCGCATAACAGAAGCGTTCGGAGCTCCGCGCGGATTTCTTGGATCGGCGCTGGGCGCCGCTGGCGGCGCCGCTGGCCACCCTGGCCCCGCCCGTGGCGCGCTCCGCGCGCCAGGCAGGGGGGGCCCAGCGCAGATCGGAGAAATCGGCGTGGTCCCCCGGAAGAGTATGTTTATGCCGACTGGCGATCCTCTAAAAGACGACCCGTCCACCGCCCCGCGTGGCTGTCTGGCAGTGCAGTCGCAGTGCTGGTTGGCATACTGATGCACCGATGCCCTGCAGCAGCCACGCGTTACGGCAGGCTGGGGGGGGGAGGAGGAACTGCAGCCCCGCAGCACCGCGAGGCTTCTGCCGCGGCCTCCCTCGGCTTTGCCACGGCCGCCCTCCACCGATCTGGGCCTCCCAGATGGGGTCCGCGCAGCTGGGGCCGGAGGACCGCATCGCAGCGCCGACGCATCGCCGACGCGGCTCGATGTGGAGCCCGCTGTTCTCCACGCCGCCGGCGCCCGCGCCTCGCCGACGTATCGCCAGTGCGTCGGCGAGGCGGCGGCGATGCGGCGCGGGCCTCCGACCCGAGCTGCGCGGACCCCATCCCGCCCGAGCTGCTCGGACCCCATCCGGGAACAACAAGTGGCAGAAGCATAAAAGCTCGGAGGTCCGCGCGGCTTTCTCGGATCGGCGCTGGGCCCCCCTGGCGGCGCCTCGGCGCCGCCCCTGGCGCGCTCCGCGCGCCAGGGAGGGGGGTCCAGGGCCGATCCGAGAAATCCGCGCGGACCTCCGAAATTTCATGTTTATGTCATTGTTCGTTCCCCTAGCTGCTCCCCTCCATATCGACGTCGTGGGGGGAGGCGGGCGGAGCCGAGGCGCCAGGGCGCCAGGGGCGGCGCCGAGGCGCCGCCAGGGGCGTCCAGCGCCGATCCGAGAAATCCGCGCGGACCTCCGAGTTTTTATGCTCATGCCACTTGTTGCTCCCCGTCCGGGCGGCCTCTCGCCGAGGCCCTCGGCCCTGGGGGCGGTGACCCAGGCCACGGCACTCGCGCCCAAGGCGAGCCAGGCGCCCACGGGGCCGCGGGCGGCGCGGGCGCACGGGGGGAGGGATGGGAGGACGGCTTCAGCGCAGCGGACCTCGCGCCTCTCGAGGTCGGGGGGGCCCCCCTGGCTCGGCACCTCCCGCGTGGCGTCCGGGGCTTGCTCTGTGAGCACCAGCGGAGGAGGAGGAGGAGGAGGAGGAGGAGGAGGAGGAGGAGGAGGAGGAGGAGGAAGAGGAGGAGGAGGAGGAGGAGAAGGAGGGAGGAGGGAGGAGGGGGAGGAGGAGGAGGAGGAGGAGGAGGAGGAGGATCAGGAGGAGGAGGATCAGGAGGACGCAGCGACCACGAGGTCTCGGACGAGCGTGAGTGAGTGACCGCGAAGGGGGGGCTCCCGAGGCGCGGATGTTGGCCAGGGCCGTGGGCTGCACGGGCCGGCAAGAGCCTGTCGCGCCCCTTCTCTCGACGCAGCAAACAGATACCCACTCCGCTGCCCTTCCCGCGTTCTCTCCTTTCTGTGCCTCCTGGGAGGCCCTCGTCGCTACCGCCGACTTCGCCTCGAAAGCATGGTCAGAACGCACTCCGGGAGAGGTCTGGGGAGCAGCGGTATCGGTGCCGCTTGGTTTCCCCCCTCTCCCTGGGCCCCAGCCCCAGAGTTCTCGACCACATCTCCTGGGCGTTTTCTGACGCCCCCGGTGCCCGCAAACGGCCCAGAGGGGGCACCGAAATCGGGAAAGGCACGCGTCCTGGGCCTGCTCAGCGGACCCAGGAGGGCTCAAGAAGAAGCTCCTCCGTTCCGTCGGGGGCGCCGCTACCAAGACGGAGAGGCGTCTCCTGTGCCGCACCTCGGCCGTTCCCCCGTGGACCCCTCGCCCCCTCGCCCTGCGAGTCGTGCCCCTCGCCGCCCCCGCCCAGCCCAGCGCTCGTGCGTGCTGCTATCCAGCGCGCGGCGGACAGGACGGCCAGGGCCACGATGTGTGTGTGTGTGTGTGATGTGTGTGTGTGTGTGTGTTTGTGTGTGATGTGTGTGTGTGTGTGTTTGTGTGTGCGTGTGTGTGTGCTTGTGTGTGCCGCTTGTTCGTCATATATGTCTTTCCGTGTTTCTCTTTCTCTCGCTCTCTCTATACCTCCTTTTTCTCTTTTCTGTATTCCTCTCTCTCTCTCTCTCTCTCTCTCCCTTTCTCTCTTACACCCTCTCTCTCTGTCCTTCTCTCTCTCTCTGTCTATCTCTCGCCCTCTCTCTCTCTCTCTCTCTTTCCCCCCCTCTCTTCATGTGTCCCCTCCTCTCTCATTCACGTATACATATATATATATAAAAGTGTGTGTGTGTGTGTGTTCATGTTTCGCGCTTCTCGGTCGAACGGTCGGCCGAACGGGAAGAGAGTCGAGGCTGAAGCGAAGAGGCATGGCGGGAAGACCTGGGCGAATCGCAGGCCCTTGAGAGGACAGCCACAGCCTCCAGCGCCAATCATTCGCAGAACCACTGGTGCTCCTTACCCTCCTTCTCCTTCTCCTCCTCCTCCTTCTCCTCCTCCTCCTCCTCCTCCTCCTCCTCCTCCTCCTCCTCCTCCTCCTCTCCCCCCCCCTCCCCCTTCCCCTCCCCCTCCGCATCCTCCTCCTCCTCCTCCTCCTCCTCCTCCTCCTCCTCCTCCTCCTCCCTCCTCCTCCTCCCCTGGGCAAATTGACTCTCGGATGTCCGCGCGCTGACTTCTCGCGCCTCGGCGCTGGGCCCGTCTGGCGGCGCCTTCCTGCGCCGCCCCTGGGCCGCTGAGAGCGCGCTGGGGGGTCCAGCACCGATCCGAGGAGCCCGCGTGGACCTCCGAAGGTTGATGTTTTATGCCGACGCGCCGTCTTCAAGCCCCGTGGTTTCCCCCGTCAGGCCCTCTTTGATGCCCTCCGCTGCGGCCAGCGGCACTGCCCCTCTCTGCAGCGTAGACGCTGGAATGCGGACCACTCGCGGCTCGGGAAGGGGGCTTTGGTCTTCGGCCCGTGGCTCAGCGCTGGGTCGGGGGACCTCTTCGTGGCCGGGGCTCTCCTTCTCCTCCTCCTCCTCCTCCTCCTCTTCCTCCTCCTCCACCTCCTCCTCCTCCTCCTCCTCCTCCTCCTCCTCCTCCTCCTCCCCCTCCACCTCCTCCTACTCCTCCTCCTCCTCCTCGAAGGCGCCCCCATATGGCAGCACGATGGCCGTACTGCTCGCTCTGCCCCGCCCTCTGCGTTGACCGTCATGCTCGTGCCGCCTTGCTCCGTGCTGGCTGCGAGTGGCCGAGGCTGCTCATCGCCCCCGAGCAGCCACAAACCATGCGCTCAGGTTCGTCCTTTGTGGAGTAGCGATTTGTTCCCACGGAGCACGGGGGTGGATCTAGCTCAACAGCGTTTGGCGTTGTGCTCCGGGCACGAACGCTTGATTGTCCCCAGAAGCGTGATGGAGAGCCAGTAGAGTTTTGAAAGGACCTTGCCTTTTAGTTGTTGGCTGTGCGGTCTTGATGTTTGTTATATTCGGGCCGGGCGAAAGGGGGGGATTGGGAAAGGGGGGTTACGAAATTTGCTGCATGCAGCTGGTTTCGGCCTCACCGAGGGGCCCATTCCTCGATACATAGCCGCCTCCGGCGCCGGGAAAATCAGCTACGTGAGCTGATTCTCAAACCCCCCCTTTGCTATCCCCCCCTTTCGCCCGACCCGATATATATATATATATATATCTTTCTCTTGTTTCTTTATCTTGTGTTTTTATGTTTTTCTCTCTCTCTCTCTCTCGTTCCGGCACCTGTTAGCAGCAGCGGCCAACACATAATACGATGAGGATGCTCGTGAGGACGAGCAGGGGGAGGCAGAAGGAAAGAGGAGGAGGAGGAGGAGGAGGAGGAGGAGGAGGAAGAGCCGATCGCTCGACACTGTCCGCAGCTCGAAGCTCGAAGGAAGAGGGGGGCGAGGAGGAGGAGGAGGAGGAGGAGGAGGAGGAGCAGGAGCAGGAGAACCCGTTGCGAGGCGAAGGCGGACGTGGCCTCTGACGCGGACGAGCTGCGAGGCATCGGGCACGCGGACGCGGACCTGGCCTCGATCATGAAGGTGGGCGGGCGGGGCACGAAGGCGGGCGGCGGGGCCCTCGGCAGCGCCTCCCTGGGCTGGGCTCCCTGCCACCCTGGGCGTCCACGAGGGGGCGTCGGGATCAGGTTTAGTGGCGAGGGTATCCCAGCAGGGGCCACGACACCTCCCAGAACATCGGGCGTTGCGCAACGGGGCGGGGGGGGGGGGGCGATGAATGGGTGGTGGGGGGGGAGAAAGGTGCACCAGTTGTGCTCCAGAGGGGCCCTGCAGAGGCTCCCTGCGGCCCAAAACGGGCGCGAAAGGTGCACGCTCTTCCCCTTCCCCCACCTTTATATCGCCCCCCGATTGAGCCATTCCCGAGAAGGCATGGCCTCCCCTTCCTCTTTCGAAGCGGTCCCTGGGCCTCCCCGTCTTCTCGTCCGCGCGCATGCCTCTGCCCCCCCCTTCCCCTCCCGGGGCACACCCGGCGGTAGCGAGGGCAAGCCAGAAGAGTTGGAAGCCGCGTGCTGGGGGGCGATAGGGGGGGGGGGCAGCGAGGGTTCAGGGCCTCGAAAGGAGCCCATTCGGGTCCGGGGCCGTCAGGGCCCGAAAAGTGCATCTTCCCTCCCCCGGCATGAATGGTCCCCCCCATCAGAGCCGCCCAGGAGAAGCCCTGGGCCGTGCCCCCTGGGCGTCCCGTTCGAAGCTCCGCCCCAGGTGGTCTCGACGACCACGACGTCGACCATCCGCGACCCGGCGCAGAAGCTGGCATCCGAGGCGCGTCCGCGCTCAGCACGGGGTGGTAGGGACGCCAGATGCGCAAGGTGCTTTGCAGCAGGGGGCTGTGCAGACAAGACGCTGTAATCGGTGCACGCCAGTCGTTGAAAGTAGGCAAATCCGGACTCCCGGATCCCAAGCTACTTCGAGCGCGCTCCCATTCCAAGAGTAGATGTGTTTTTACTGTCTGTTGTTGTTCTCGGGGAGGGTCTGAACCCAACCTACTATATCCGCCTTCCTACTTCATGTTCTTATTCATTTTTCCCAACCGACGCTGTAATCAGTACCACTTATGGTTGAAGAGGCGCTATTGTGTGCGTGATGCAGGTATTGCCTCCGCGACACGCAAATAAACATTCCTCACCGTCATGTTCTTGAGCGGGGCCCATTACAGCGTACTTGGATCTGCCGACTGATTCCATCAGCGCGTTGGCGGAAAATGTTGCTAGCAAGCCTGTAACAGGTGCACTTGTTCGCAGACTACTCCGTGTGCACGGTACCGCGTTGGTGTCTACCGAGGCGTCGTCGATCTTCGATTTAGGAAATGATACGAATCAGCGACAACATGATGCACCACCTGGTGCCCGCGACATCAGACGTCATTGTGCAATCGACGTTTCGTGCTTGCTCCTCCCTTCTCCCCCCAATCTAGTATTGGCCACGGGCCGGGATCGCCGAACCAGCTCCGTTGTGTAACATTATGTCGGGCGCCTGGGGCATCCAGAGGAGCTCATTCTCGCATGCCCCAAATAGTAGATTGGGGAGGAGTGGGAGACAAGGGTTGAAGCATGCCTGCGGAACACAACGCAAAGTGGTGCAGTGTTTTGTCGATAGACGGTACGGTGCATGGCATCGAAGTTCTGCCATCAGGGCCGGAAACTATACAGTGCAACGTACCTCGCTGGAGCTGGGCTTGAAGGCAGTCCAATCGTGACACGGTGCATAGGCGCCATCCTCGCATGTGCAGCTGCGTGGAAAACCACAGAATCAGTGACTTGCGAACAGCTTTCAGGAGCAAGTGAGTGGTGCGTTGGCGAGCAGGCGCACGCCCTGTCCGGCGCAGGGCAAGCCTGGAAGGGAACGGGTGCCACCAGGGGGGGCACGCGCGAGAGCGCCAGAGCGGCCGCGCCTCGCGAAGCGCGGGGCGCAAAGTCAGGCGGCCTACAGCCCAGACGCTGAGGCAGAGACCACGGGGGCGTCAGGACAGGCACTGATGGGCCAAGTCTCCACCACCACTACCATAGGCAAAACGGTGGAGGAGGGAGGATGGCGAGGCCCTCCCCCTCCTCCTCCCTCCTCCTCCTCCCTCCTCCTCCTCCTCCTCCTCCTCCTCCTCCTCCTCCTCCTCCTCCTCCTCCTCCTCCTACTCCTCCCCCTCCTCCTCCCTCTGCTGCCTATGGCAGCGGTGGTGGAAAATTGGGCCCTCAGGCGCTGTTTCTTTGTTGTCCGTTCAATCTCGGTCGGGGCACCGATGCGTGGCCGAGGCGCGCCGTTGCCGGAGGGGCCCCTGGCCCAGTCTCGCCTGTGCTCCTCGTAGTGCTTGGCACGATGGCCGCAGACGTCCTCGTCGCCAGGGGAGGCCATGTGACAGCCTCCAGGGGGGGAGGAGGCCCTCCCCCCCAAACCCCCTCGCGTTGTGAAGTAAGAACGACGGGAGGTTTTTTGAGTATGTTCCGCCTCCGGGGGCCCTTTACTGGGCCTCGGGGCCCTCAAACACAGCGACTCGGGACGAAAAACCGGCCCCCGGGGAGGGGGTCCAGACCTCTGGGGGCCGACGCTGCGAAACCATGACGCCGTCGGGGGTCTGCCCCCCCCCTCCGCGGTCGGAGGGCGGCGCCGCGCAGGCGTCCCCGCGGGAGGCCTCGTCGATCACGTCCTCCAGCGGCACCCGGGCCAACAGCCGCTGCTGCCGCAGCGGCAGCGGCATCGAGACGGCCTGCGGGGAGGGGGGGGGGGGGGGGGCCCGGCTGGAGGGGGGGGAGCACGGCCGTGCCCGGCCTGCCGGCCGGAGGGGGGGGCAGCACGGCCGGAGGGGGGGGGCAGCACGGCCGTGCAGCAGGACGGGCACGGCTCCAAGAGGGGCCGGAGGGGGGGGGGCAGCACGGCCGCGCCCGGCCTGCCGGGGGGGGGGAGCAGGACGGGCACGGCTCCAAGAGGGGCCGGGCATTCCAGGTCTCCGCGAAGAGTTCGGTTTTTGCAGTGTGGGCGTGTTCTGTCCTCGGTCTTTCGGCCTCGGGGGCCAGCGGTGGGGCCCATCGGGCCCATCGGGAAGGGGTCCGGGGCAAAATGTTGGCCCTGGGGAAGCGGTGAAGATCCCTGGGATTCCTGATTCCTTGGAGCCGCCAATCAAAAAAGTAGCCCCACCAGCCAATCAACAAGGATGCCCACGCGAGCTGCGCTGATCAGGGATGTGGGACAGCCCTGCTCCGAAAGGGGAAGAAGGGGGTTGGAGGAAGAAAGGCGCTAAACCACTCACGCCCTGAAGGGCTGGTGGTATTCTTCCAATGCGCGGCCCCGGAGGTCCCGACCCCTTTCCCGCGGCCCGAGAACGGACCCAAGAGGGCGACATCGAGGAAAAATGCTTGGATCTGAATCGGCAACATCAGATCGTCGGAGATCTGGGGAGGCGATCGTTCTCTCAAAGAGTGCTTGCAAGGAGGGGTCACACTTATGATGTGAGCTTGACCTGGGTGCCGTCGTGGGCCGTTCGCGCGCTGGTGCCCTCGCGGCTGGTGCCCTGTAACTGACGCCCTTCCGGTATGATGTCCTCTTGTTGCGGCCCTTGCGTCTCCTGTGGCTGGTATCTGCTGTCGTGATGCCACATGGTTGCTGCTCTGAGGGTGATGCCATGGTGTTCACTATCAGGTCGAGGGCAGCGGCTACCACCATCACCACCACCATTGCTGCTTGTACTACGATTTGTGCTAGGCGGATGATCACGAATGCCAGTCATATGGTTTCGGGGAATATTACTACCAGTACTATGGCTATCGATAGTGTCACAACGACCTCCTGCGACGGCGACGACGACGATTATCATTATTATTACCACGACTACGACTACGAGCACTCTGCTTGCGCAACTTATTTGAGTGTACGGGAGGGAGGGAGGGTGGTGGAATTTCTCTGCGGCGGGCGCGCGGCTGCAACAGCACATTGACATCATATAGGAAGCAGATCAACCATAGAGGCACCACATATGTACAAGCATATTCAACACGTGTACACACCTCCTATACAGACAACAACACGTGCAACACATGTACACGCATGGCCAGCCATGTACCAATCACTGACACAATAGCTACAACACGTGTAGAGAAAGCGCATGCACATACCATACACAGCATGTACAACACACGTAGAACACCTGTACAATTCATATACGACACAAATGCAGCACATGTGCACTACATATACGCAACCATGTACAACACAATTACGATCATACCAGAAAACTCATGGAACCCATACGCAACGCACCCAGCAACATAACATCACATCAAAGCAACACATTGCAACGACTGGGTAATACGTATAAACACCATGCACAAGGCATACCCAAAGCATGTACAACATCTATATACACAGGACACATTTACAACACCTACGAAAGGTATGTGGACCAGGTGAAGAAAGCATGGGGCAGACAAAGAGAGAACTGACACAACACTTGTACAAACCAATGGGGC